CCAGCTAAAAGAAAGCAAAAATAAGCATTGGTTGGTCCCAGCTTCTGGAGTGATGGAGTGGGATCAATGCTCAGAGTTAGGGTCTCCAGAGAAATAGAAGTGACAGTGGGCAGGGAGGGAGGTGGTGCAGAAGATGAGTGCCCCAGTTTCCACTGTCATCCCTGGATAGCTCTGGCCCTGCCCTACTTTGGGGCTCTGGGTGGGTGAGCCAAGGGAGCCATTGTCCAACCTCAAGGGCAGTGACCAAGGGGGAGGGGAGTTGGGAACAATAATGTTGATGCCTGGGCACCTTCAGGTCTACGTAGGGTGATGCTGCGGGCCCACCGCCAGGCCTGGTGCTGGCAGGACGAGTGGACAGAACTGAGCATGGCTGACATCCGAGCACTAGAGGAGGAGACTGCTCGCATGCTGGCCCAGCGCATGGCCAAATGTAATACAGGAAGTGAGGGGCCCGAGGCTCAGCCCCCTGGGAAACTAAGCACTGAGGTGCGGTCTGGGGTCAGCAATGCTGGCACCCCTGATGGGCCTGAGGTCCCCACTGGCCCTGACGCCTCACCTGATGCTAGCTTTGGGAAGCAGTGGTCCTCATCCTCCCGTTCCTCCTACTCATCCCAACACGGAGGTGAGGTTGGGACACAGGGATGGGCGGGAATGACCCTCCCTAAGCTGGGCTTGGGGCTAAAGCTGAGCCGGCCCTGCAGGGGGCGTGTCTCCACAGAGCTTGTCGGAGTGGCGCATGCAGAACATCGCCAGAGACTCTGAGAACAGTTCAGAGGAAGAATTTTTTGACGCTCACGGTCAGCACCGAGGTCGTTTGTGAAGGAGGGGGTAACCCAGAGCAGCTCCTCCCACCCCATAACACAGCCCCCTGTCCCCTCAGAAGGCTTCTCGGACAGTGACGAGGTCTTCCCCAAGGAGATTACCAAGTGGAACTCAAATGACTTCATCGATGCCTTTGCCTCCCCAACAGAGGCTGAAGGGGCACCAGGTATACTCCCCACTACAGGACGTCAGCCACCAGCCCTCGTGCAGCAGGGACGCAGAGAACTCAGTCCTCAGTATCGTGGGGTCCTAGGATGACTGTCATGCTAGAGAGGATACTCATTAAATACCTAGTGAATAATGAATGGGAAACGGATGGAAGACGGACGATTAGAATGTGGTCGAGGTTCAGACATAGCACCAAGAATGGAGGAGTTAATTTGGAGTCTAGGAAGGCTTCATGTGGGTGGTGCCATCTGCACTTGGTTTTGAAGGACTGGACCAGTGCTTGTCCAACAGAACTTTCTGTGATAGTGGAAATGGTCTAGATCTGAGCTGCCCAACGTGGTGGCCACTAGCCATGTGGGGCCGGCAGGCACTTGAAATGGAACTAGTGTGACTGAAGAACTGAATTTTTTTTATCATGTTATATTTTAATTAATTTACATTTAAGTAGCCACATGGTAGTTAGAATCAACCATATTGGATAGGATTCGAGGGATTAGATGTCTGCCAGGCAAACGGGTGGCATGTGCAGAGGCAGCCCTGACTGCAGCAGGACCAGCGTGGGCCAAGGCCTGGAAATGTGAGATGACCTGAGAGTTGGTGGGGGAGAAGGTCAGACTCAGGCGGAGGCCTGAACTGGCGTCTCTGGAAGAACAGGTGAAGGGATCCCAGGGGTACCCTGGTTCCCTTCACTGACTTTTCTTTGCCCTACAGACCCTGGAACCGAGGCCACTAAAGGTATTGAGGATGGGGCCCGAGCACCCAGGGACTCAGAGGCAAGTGTGGCTGACCAACCACCATCCCCCCTGCCCCGTGGAAGTTCTTTTCACCTGCTGGCCTGGCCACTGCTGACATCTCTGGCACCCCGCTGCACCCCACAGGGCCCAGAAGGAGCCGGGGAGCTGGGAGCTGAGGCATGCGCAGTCCACGCCCTCTTCCTTATCCTGCACAGTGGCAACATCCTGGACTCGGGCCCTGGAGATGCCAACTCCAAGCAGGCAGACGTGCAGACTCTGAGCTCGGCCTTTGAGGCTGTCACTCGCGTCCACTTCCCTGAAGCCCTGGGCCACGTGGCACTGCGACTGGTGCCCTGCCCACCCATCTGTGCTGCCGCCTATGCCCTTGTCTCCAAGTACTGGCCAGGGGTGGAAGGGTGGGGGACACAGGATCAGGGAGGTCCCCGTGGGCAGAGAGGGAGGGACTGGGAAACCAGACACCTGGGGCAGTCACTGACATGGCTGGACCCCTTCTGGTCGATGGCTCCGTCTCAAAAGCCTCTCAGATGCTGACACTCCACAAAGGGCCCACGTGCCAGGTGCCAGGGCTTGCAGTAGGCCTAGAGGACTTAAGCAGCAGTGCAGGGGCTGGAGGCCCCACTCCCCTGCCACACCCCTCCTTCTACAGCCTGAGTCCCTACAGCCACGATGGCGACAGTCTGTCCCGCTCCCAGGACCACATTCCGCTGGCTGCCCTGCCACTGCTGGCCACCTCATCCTCTCGCTACCAGGGTGCTGTGGCCACCGTCATTGCCCGCACCAACCAGGCCTATTCAGCCTTCCTGCGCTCATCCGAGGGCACTGGCTTCTGTGGGCAGGTTAGGGTTAGGGGTGTTCCCGGAATGCAGTCTATCCACTGCCCCCCACTGCAGCCTTGGCCGTGGCCTGGCCTGGCTGGTGACAAGGTCTCCCTTAACAGTGCCCACCTTCTCACCCAGGTGGTGCTGATTGGAGATGGCGTTGGTGGCATCCTGGGCTTTGATGCACTCTGCCACAGTGCCAACGCGGGCACGGGGAGTCGGGGTAGCAGCCGCCGTGGGAGCATGGTCAGTGTGGCCAGACCCCGCCTCCTCAGGAAGGGGGTTTTCTCTCTCCGTCTCTAGGTCTCTGTCCCTGGGAAATGACCTCTCTGCATGTGGGCAGGTCCCCTGTGGTCTCCTTGTTTGCATCTCCTTTGGAACTGCCCACTAACTCCCAAGCCTCTCTCCTCTCTTCCAAATAAGTAGAACTCCAATGGTCTCTGAACCTAATGGTTTCTGTCCTCTGTTCCATCTAGAACAATGAGCTGCTCTCCCCAGAGGTCGGCCCGGCGAGGGACCCACTGGCAGATGGGGTGGAGGTGCTGGGTAGGGCCAGTCCAGAACCCTCCTCCCTGCCTGCCCAGCGTACTCCCAACGACATGGCCACTGCTGAGCCTGAGGGCTGTCAGAACAGGTGATATCCCGCCCAGGGGCAGTGGAGGCTGCTGCCCAGGGGCTGTGGAGGCTGCTGCTCTGAACTCCTTCTCTCCCACAGCCTTCAGGCAGCCCCCACACCCTCTGCCTCTGGGGAGCCCCGGCGGGCAAGCACAGCCTCCTGCCCACCTGCTCCCAGTTCCGAACCTCCCGACGGCCCCAACGCTGCCCGCCTCGACTTCAAGGTTTCTGGCTTCTTCCTCTTCGGGTCCCCGCTGGGCCTGGTACTGGCTCTGCGCAAAACTGTGATGCCCGCCTTGGAGGGTGAGACTTCAGAGTGGGGGTGGGGCCGCTCCTCACCTTTGGTCTGCCCCTTCCCGTCCCCTCTGGCCTTTCCTCTCACCTGAGATGCTGGCAGTCTTACTGCCACTCCCCACTGCAGACATTAAATGACCCAGCTAGAGAAGGGGAACCTGAGGCCCAGAAAGAAGGGGCTTGCCAAAGCTGCTCCCCAAAGTACACTGGGAGGAACCTCACACCCACAGGATGCTCTGCCTGAGAAGGGATCCAACAGGCATGGGACATGCTTCATCCTGAGCCATGAGATGGAAGGTGCCGATCTCTTCTCGGCCAAGAGACCTGTGGCTTTCTGGAACTTTCCCAGAGTGCTGCTCTCATGCACCTCCCTCCTCAGTGCCATGCTGAGCCCCTCCCTTCCTTTCTCGATCTTTCTGGTACCCAGTGGCCCAGATGCGCCCAGCCTGTGAGCAGATCTACAACCTTTTCCATGCGGCCGACCCCTGTGCCTCCCGCCTCGAGCCCCTGCTGGCCCCCAAGTTCCAGGCCATCGCCCCCCTGGCTGTACCTCGCTACCAGAAGTTCCCCCTGGGAGATGGCTCCTCCCTGCTCCTGGGTATGCCCCCAGCCAAGATAAAAGGGAGAAGGAGGAGGGCACCGACAGGGAAGGAAAAGGAAGGAGACATGAGGGGAGCTGGTTCCCACATCAGGAGAAACGTTTCCTGTCACCACTCCCAGGACTAGAGGATTCCACTCTGGCCCCTTGGGGGGTATGGATCCCCAGGACTCCCTGACCTGTGTCTAGAAGGGGGGACAGTGGTGGCGATGACGCTAGCGGGAGAACAGAGTGCTGCTGCTGTCCCAGGGCTGGAGCAGCATGTGGCTGTGTGCTGGGTGCAGTGTCGTTCCACGTGTGCTCATGAGCACGCACCAGAGGCAGCTGAGTCCCCGCTGGCCCTGCGAGAAAAGCGGGCCTGTGTTGGGCACGGGTGCGCATGTATTTGGGGTGGTGATGGACAAGCCTTCTGGCAGGACTACAGCTGGGTACTGGAGTGCGCCCAGAGGAGAGAATGCCCCTGCCACACACACTCTACCACCACCTAGATATGGAGCAGGGCAGCTTTAGCCAAGACCTGCCCAGGGAAGGTCAGAGGGAAGATGGAGAGGCGGGGTGAGCTGTCCTGGGACCTCTGGGTCACAGACAGGAGGGCAGCCTCACCCAGCCTGCTGGCTTTTCCCCTCCGCCCCCAGCCGACACTCTGCAGACTCATTCAGGCCTCTTTCTGGAAGAGCTGGAGATGTTGGTACCCTCCACACCCACCTCGGCCAGCGGTGCCTTCTGGAAGAACAGCGAATCAGGCACTGAGCCTCCAGCCCAGCCCTGGACAGTCAGCCTGGGGGTGGGGGGTGCTAGTCCACCTCCACATGCTGTCCCTATCCTCTAAGCGCCCAGCCCAGGCTAGCATAGAGCAGGATTGGGGGAAGGGATGAGCTGGGCAGGCAGGCGTGGGCCAGGAGGCCATCCCGGCTCACTGCCGGCTGTGGTGTGCAGTCCTGGAGCGCTGGTGGGGGACCAAACGCATCGACTACTCGCTGTACTGCCCGGAGGCACTCCCCGCCTTTTCCTGCCCGGAGGCACTCCCCGCCTTTCCCCCCGTCACGCTGCCTCACCTCTTCCACGCCAGTTACTGGGAGTCAGCTGACGTGGTGGCCTTCATCCTGCGTCAGGTGGGCCCAGGGATGTGGGGTGGGAGGTGGGAACCAGCTGAGGGCGGGAGCCCTTTCCCTGCCCGGTTCACCGGCCGTGTCCTGCGCAGGTGATCGAGAAGGAGCGGCCACAGCTGGCAGAGGATGAAGAGGTGCTCTCATGCACCTCCCTCCTCAGTGCCATGCTGAGCCCCTCCCTTCCTTTCTCGATCTTTCTGGTACCCAGTGGCCCAGATGCGCCCAGCCTGTGAGCAGATCTACAACCTTTTCCATGCGGCCGACCCCTGTGCCTCCCGCCTCGAGCCCCTGCTGGCCCCCAAGTTCCAGGCCATCGCCCCCCTGGCTGTACCTCGCTACCAGAAGTTCCCCCTGGGAGATGGCTCCTCCCTGCTCCTGGGTATGCCCCCAGCCAAGATAAAAGGGAGAAGGAGGAGGGCACCGACAGGGAAGGAAAAGGAAGGAGACATGAGGGGAGCTGGTTCCCACATCAGGAGAAACGTTTCCTGTCACCACTCCCAGGACTAGAGGATTCCACTCTGGCCCCTTGGGGGGTATGGATCCCCAGGACTCCCTGACCTGTGTCTAGAAGGGGGGACAGTGGTGGCGATGACGCTAGCGGGAGAACAGAGTGCTGCTGCTGTCCCAGGGCTGGAGCAGCATGTGGCTGTGTGCTGGGTGCAGTGTCGTTCCACGTGTGCTCATGAGCACGCACCAGAGGCAGCTGAGTCCCCGCTGGCCCTGCGAGAAAAGCGGGCCTGTGTTGGGCACGGGTGCGCATGTATTTGGGGTGGTGATGGACAAGCCTTCTGGCAGGACTACAGCTGGGTACTGGAGTGCGCCCAGAGGAGAGAATGCCCCTGCCACACACACTCTACCACCACCTAGATATGGAGCAGGGCAGCTTTAGCCAAGACCTGCCCAGGGAAGGTCAGAGGGAAGATGGAGAGGCGGGGTGAGCTGTCCTGGGACCTCTGGGTCACAGACAGGAGGGCAGCCTCACCCAGCCTGCTGGCTTTTCCCCTCCGCCCCCAGCCGACACTCTGCAGACTCATTCAGGCCTCTTTCTGGAAGAGCTGGAGATGTTGGTACCCTCCACACCCACCTCGGCCAGCGGTGCCTTCTGGAAGAACAGCGAATCAGGCACTGAGCCTCCAGCCCAGCCGGCCGCCCCCAGCACCACCAGCGAGGTGGTTAAGAGTAAGTCGGCCAGCCACTGGCCTGGACAGTCAGCCTGGGGGTGGGGGGTGCTAGTCCACCTCCACATGCTGTCCCTATCCTCTAAGCGCCCAGCCCAGGCTAGCATAGAGCAGGATTGGGGGAAGGGATGAGCTGGGCAGGCAGGCGTGGGCCAGGAGGCCATCCCGGCTCACTGCCGGCTGTGGTGTGCAGTCCTGGAGCGCTGGTGGGGGACCAAACGCATCGACTACTCGCTGTACTGCCCGGAGGCACTCACCGCCTTTCCCACCGTCACGCTGCCTCACCTCTTCCACGCCAGTTACTGGGAGTCAGCTGACGTGGTGGCCTTCATCCTGCGTCAGGTGGGCCCAGGGATGTGGGGTGGGAGGTGGGAACCAGCTGAGGGCGGGAGCCCTTTCCCTGCCCGGTTCACCGGCCGTGTCCTGCGCAGGTGATCGAGAAGGAGCGGCCACAGCTGGCAGAGTATGAAGAGCCGTCCATCTACAGCCCTGCCTTCCCCAGGGAGAAGTGGCAGCGCAAACGCACGCAGGTCAAAATCCGGGTATGTGCGCTGACCCCGACCCTCCTCGCCCTGCCCTGTCCCTTCCCCAGTGTTCCCGCTCTTTCTGAGCCAAGCCCCACCCTTCACAACCCAGATGGACTTTTCTCCCAGCCCTGCCCCACCTGCTAGGACCTGGGCTGCTCTGCCTTGCCCTCCCCCTGACCCCCAGGACCCCTGGTCTCCTCCCTGCTGCCTCTGCCACTTCCGCTGGTCAAGTCTAGACTGCCACTCACCCGTGTCCCACCTAAACCTATGTCTAGACCTGTCACTGCTCGGCCCCGTGGAGCCGCAATCCACACACAACACTCACAACCTCAGGTCAGGGGCCCTCAGAGGCACATACCCCTAGTGCCGTGCCCCTATCCTGTAGCAATCCTGCCTCCTCCAAACCCCACCTCAGTGTGGGCACAGGTAGCTCCTCAGCTGCTCCCCTAGCATCCCCATCCTTACCTGGTCACGGGCTCATGGTGTGTCCCTCTCACAGAATGTCACTTCCAACCACCGGGCAAGCGACACGGTGGTGTGCGAGGGCCGCCCCCAGGTGCTGAATGGACGCTTCATGTATGGACCCTTGGACGTGGTTACGCTCACCGGAGAGAAGGTCAGGACCCAGAGTCCTTGCCTCCCTTCTTTCCCCCTCTGTGTTCCCGCCCTTGCCCTTCCTCCTGTCTCTGGACAGCTCCTGGTCCACCTGGGTTAAGCCCAGCCCCTCCCCAACCATGACCGGCCCACCTCTGCCCTCCTTTACTCAGGGTAGGGGTATGCCCAGAGGCTCTGACTTTCCACCTTCTCCCCCTTCCTCCAGGTGGACATCTACATCATGACGCAGCCGCTGTCGGGAAAGTGGATCCACTTCGGCACCGAGGTCACCAACAGCTCGGGCCGCCTCACCTTCCCAGTGCCCTCTGAGCGCTCTCTGGGCATCGGCGTCTACCCTGTACGCATGATGGTCAGGTGAGCAAGGTATGGGCCGGCGTTGCGGGTGCCCCGCCAGGCCTGGCCCCCATCGCTCACACACTCTGTGGGCCACAGGGGTGACCACACGTATGCCGAGTGCTGTCTGACAGTGGTGGCCCGAGGCACAGAGGCTGTGGTCTTTAGCATCGACGGCTCTTTCACTGCCAGTGTCTCCATCATGGGCAGCGATCCCAAGGTGCGCGCCGGAGCTGTGGACGTGGTCAGGTAGGAGCCACCGCCATCGCCCAGCTCTCTGTGGCGAGCAGCCCCCACAGCCAGCCGTGGCACTGATCACAGACCCCACCCGTAGGCACTGGCAGGATGCAGGCTACCTGATCGTGTATGTGACGGGCAGACCGGACATGCAGAAGCACCGCGTGGTGGCCTGGCTGTCACAGCATAACTTCCCCCACGGTGTCGTCTCCTTCTGCGACGGCCTTACCCACGACCCACTGCGCCAGAAAGCGATGTTTCTGCAGAGCCTGGTGCAAGAGGTGCCGCTGCAGGGCCCTGACCCCCTGCCCCCACCCCAGCATAGGAAGGCAGTGGCTCATCCGCCCACCCCAACTGCCCTGCTCCTGGTTGACCACAGAGGCCCCCATAGTGCTGCCTTACTGGCCCAAGGGGCCCTTTGTTCTTGGGGCCAACTAGGGAGTAGCTAGTGCCCCAAAGTGGGTGATGGAGACCATCTGTCCCTGCCTCTGTCCTCAGCTACAGGGCCCTTCTGGCTGACTGATCTGTCCCACTGCAGGTAGAGCTCAACATTGTGGCAGGCTATGGTTCCCCCAAAGATGTCGCTGTATACACAGCACTGGGCCTGTCTCCAAGCCAGACCTACATTGTGGGGCGAGCCGTGAGGAAGCTGCAAGCACAGTGCCAGGTAAGAGTTGAAGGCCCGGAACAGGACCCTGCAGGGAACAGGAGTCTGGATCTGAGGCCCTAAGACCACCATGTTAAGATGTACCCAATGGGGAGGGGGACAGCTGAGACAAGGTTCCACTGGCCTCAGGCAACCTGGGCTTCTCCTAGGACAGGGCTCATGAGAAGCTTGGAAGTGGCAGACTACCCGTCAGACTGGGAGGGCAATCCCATGGTTCATTACACCAAGGCCCTGGACACAGGCCTTGACCTGAGCCTGTCTCCTCTCCGCAAAGTGGAGACAGTTAATGGCACTGATGATCAGCTGCCACAAAGCAAGTGTTTGCTAAATGTTAGCTGCTGTTTGCCTCTAAGATCCCACTTGACAGCTGAGGAGACTGAGGCCCAGAGGTAGAAGTCATGGTACCTTGGTTCTAAGCCTGGGGTTCCTGCCATCAAGAGAAGGCTGTGCCAGGCCTGTCATCCTGCCAGCACTGCCCAGTGCCCCACCCTGCCTTAGGAACCTATGGAGAGGGGGGCTGGGCAGAATGTAGGCCACAGGCCCGCTGTCCCCTCATCCCTGCTCTCCTCTGCCCACAGTTCTTGTCAGATGGCTACGTGGCCCACCTGGGCCAGCTGGAGGCGGGCTCCCACCCTCATGCCCCCTCAGGACCTCCAAGGGCCGCCTTGGCTAAAAGCAGCTATGGTGTGGCAGCCCCGGTGGATTTCCTCCGCAAACAGAGTCAGCTCCTTCGATCGAGGGGCCCCAGCCAGGTGGAACGTGAGGGCCCAGGGACCCCACCTACCACCCTGGCACGGGGCAAGGCCCGAAGTATCAGCCTCAAGTTGGACAGCGAAGAGTGAGGCCCAAGCTGTGGCTGGACCTGAGTTATTTATTGACACACTCAAGGGGCCCAGGTGGCTACACATGGGAGGCTGGGGGCCCAGACCTCTGGCACCAGCCCTGGCCTCCTAGCCCTCCACCCTGCATCTCGGTCTGCCCCTCAGTGTTACTTTCCTTTCATGTGGGGGACCCAGCTCCAGGGGGAGGGAGGAAGGGGTGGGTGAGGGCCAAAGGCTTTTCCAATGTGTGTAAATCCATGAAAATAAACACCACCTGCATCCCACCCAACTGCCCACCTGACTGGCATCATAGGGCAGCTGAGCCGTTTCCAGCTGCATGGGGACACTGAAGCACAGAGAGGGGCCAGGTCAGAGGCAGGGCTGGGACGGGGGGCCTGGGCCTCCAAAGGTCTCAGGGCTGTCCTTTCCACTTCCTCAACAGTCAGCCCACCCTACTCCATTCTCCCCTCAGCCCAGGAGACCTTGCACTGAAACCTCCACCTGCAGAAGCTGAGGCCGCGGGACTATGGGAGGGGCATGCGGGCGACACTGGGAGCCCACCCCACCTGGGAGCCCAGCTGCCTGGCTTGTGCCTACTTGATTGCTCCTGAAGACTGGAAGCTCCTGGGGCACCCCAGCCCTGGCCACCAAGGAACACTTCCTTTGTGACTGAGCTCATCATCCTCATTTCTGTCAGGGACACTGATTCCCAAAGAGGTCTCGGAGCTAGTAAGTGGACTGCTAGGGTTAAGACCTGATCCTGTGCCTCCTAAGGGCCACCAAGTGCCAGGAAATGCCAGGTGATGACAGCTCAGCAGACCCAGACAGAGATAAATAAGGCCTTTATATACAGAAAAGCGTGATGTAGCGGGGCCAGGTGGGCTGGCGGTGGCAGCAGTGGGCTTGGCAGAGTAGGGCAGTGGGAGTGGCCCTGTCAGTGGGAGAAGATGCCCCGGAAGCGGGCCTTGTCCTCCTCGTCCTTCTGCCGGATCCGTGTCTCCAAGGCCCGCAGCTCACGGCTCACAATGGGTGCCAGGGCTGGGTCCAGCTCCAGCACCTTGGCAAAGTCAGCCTGGGCCTCCTGGGCATTCCATACGGCTGCGTGGGCCTTGCCCCGCTTGAAGTAGGCTTTGACGTTGTCTGCAGGGGATACCAGAGGACAGCAGGCATGGCTCACAAGGGCACCGGGGTGCAGCCAGTGGCCTGGCACCAGGGGCCCATCAGGGGAGAGAGCTCTCCCTGACCTCAGGATGCCAGCCCCACCCCCACTATCTCATTCCTAGTTCAGCGGCACGACAGGACCATGGCCCTGCCTGAGTGGGGACATCTAGTTGGGCCCATGTGGAAGCTAAGAATGGGAGATGTTCAAGGCTCTATCTTGAGCTCTGGTGACCAGCGGTGACAGAGGCCACTCTCCCGACGGCCCCAGCCCCCGGCAGCCCCAGCACGGTGCTCACCGTCATACTTGTTGAGGATGGAGGAACAGTGGTCCAGCACTTCATAGTACTCTTCGCTCACCAGCTTGCACTGACAGTAGTTGAGCAGCAGTGGCGTGATCTGCTGGTCCAGCTGGATCCAGTCGGGGGACCCAGGCTGCTCCTGAGGGCAGGGAGAAGGGCAGAGGTGTTGAGACCTGGGCTCCTTGCACTGCCTCCCCCTCCTCCACCTCCCTTCAGCCTCCAACCAGCACCTTCATCTGCAGGTTCTTGAGGCAGGCGATGGCATCGTAGTACTTGGCAGCGGCCTCCTTCACCTGCCCCTCGCGGTACAACCGGTTGCCCTCCTGGTGGATGAGCGGCACCGCCTTTGCCTTCTCCTCATCTGTCATTGCCCATGGGTCCTGCTGGTACGTGCCAGGATTCTCCACCTGCCAGGGCATGGCCAAATCACAGCGGGGCCCAAAAGCTGCCACAGCTCCTCCAGCAGCACAGCCGACCAGCAGCAAGGCTGCCCGGGCCTCCAGACACCACATACCAGAAGCAGTCTCTTGCTCATCGAGAGCTCAACAAACATTTGTGTAGCATGTCTTATGTGCCCAGCACTGAGAACAGAGCAGCGAGCGAGACGGTGAAAAACCCTGCCCTCACACAGCTCATGTATTCCAGGAAGACCCCTAAACAGTCAGGAGACAACACCTAGGGACATCAAAGGACGGCAGGGGCTATACAGGAGCCAGAATAAAGGAGGCAGATGCCTCTTGGAGGATGTGGCACTTGAGAATTGAAGGAGAAAGAGCCCTGCAAGGGACTGCCAAGGGCTCCCACAGGTGTTCTGGACCTTTTCCCTCCCCCAGCAGTCCATCCACTGACCCACCACCCCAGGCAGGAGGCAGGGCATGGCCCATCCTGAGGCTGAGCAGTGAAGTCCGGCGAGGTGCCGGGGCTCTGTGGCTCCTCACCTTGAGCATCTCGATGTGGAAGATGAGCGGCTGGGGGTTCTGCTGCAGGGCATCCAGGTCGGCATGGCCGAGGGAGCTGTGCTCGTGCATCTGGGCAATGCCGCAGCAGTGCCGCTGACCCTCCAGGGGGTCCTTGCCCGCAGCGATGTTGCGGAGACTCTTGGCCACCAGGGGATACAAGACCACATGCTGCAGGAGAGCGAGTGGGTGCCAGGGACTCTCTCAGTACGAGCTGGCTGCTCACTGGGTCCAAGAGGCCTGGTTCCCTTCCCATCACCATCTGAGAAAGGACACCAAAGCCCAAGGGTCCCCGCCCCATTGAAGTCCAGGGGCCTCAGCACTCGCCAGCCTCTCAGCCCTCTCTTCCCGTAAGGCCCCCAGCTTCTGCCATGCTCTCTGGCCACCAAACCAAGTACCAACTCCACCCCCCACCCCCTCACAAGCACCCCTACCATCAACATCTGTCTCCCCATGCATCCTTACAGGTCCAGGGAGATTCTTCCCTCACCTCCCCCCCAGGAATGCAGCCCACAAGCTGGACTCCTTGCATTCCTGAGGCTCCTCCCATGTTCTATTCTTGGTATCTCTCCCTTCTCCTCCTGTCCCCCCACTTCATTCAGGGCCTATCTCAGAATCAGGTCCATAACAGCATCTTCAAAACCTCAGGGAGGGACCAGCAGATGACCTGGAGATTAAGGCATGTACGGTCATTTGGATCCCACATGGCCAATTGTGTGGTTCAAGTCCTGAACCTGGGGGCTTGAAAATCACACCTGGTACATGTGCGTTCCTGTCCGAACTCCTGGAGAACAGAGGAAGAGGGATTGCAGCATAGCCATCCCTCCGCCCCCGGGGAGGGGAAGCGTGTACTTTCCCACTTTCTCTCTCTTTGTCTCTGTCTGTCTCCAGGAGCACACATGCCCTATAGCACAAAACATATACATATATACCAAAAATAAACAAACAAAACACCAGGGAAGATAGCCATAGGGCATCTGGCCTCTGACTGTTTACTTGGAAAAGCTGCAGGGATGGTGGGAATCAGACTCTTCCCAGTCCAGTCCAACCTGCACCTCTCCCTGCCCCCTGCCTAAGAGCTGAATGCTGAGATAACATTTATCCAGAAGACATTTCCGGAGTCTTTGCTCTGAGCTGGCCCCTGCTAGGCATTTCAAAGCTAGAAGCAAACAGGTCAGATCCCTGCCCTACAGTAGCTTAGGATCAGGAAGAAGACCAGACATGGCCCAGGCATAAGGACCGGAGGACTCAGAGGAGAAGTTCAGGTCAGTCACCGGCAGTCAGGGAGGACTTCCTAGAGGTAGAAACTCAGGAATTAGCTTTGAAATATGAGGGAGAGGGGCCAGGAATGGGCATAATGGCTATGTCGTGTGACTCCCATGTAGTCGTCCGCAGTTCAAGTCCGGGACCCGGTATGCTTGCGCACCTGAGATCCTGAGAGAAGAAGGGATTGCAACTTGGCCATCTCCCCTGGGGGGTGATTTCTCGCTTTCTGTCTCTCTTTGTCTTTCTGGTGAGCACACATGCCCGATAGCAAAAACCTCTCCAAAAAAAGAAATATGAGGGAGCATCCTGACTAAGAAGGGCAATAAAAAGGAAAGGCAGAGAGCTTGAACAGGAAGGGAAGACTGACAGGAGCCAGACCCTGAGGGGCCATGTGAGCAGCTGCCGCTTATACTCTTATACTCTGTCCTCACGATGACCAAGAAGCAATGGCATGTGCAGTGATCTGCCTTTTTATTTTAAAAAAAAAAAAAAAAAAGAGAGAGAGAGAGGTTTTTTTTTGCCTTAGGGTGCATGTGCTCCTCCAGAGAGAGTGTGACAGAGACAGTGAGAGGTAAAGTGAGAAATCATCCCCCAGGGGGACGGCCAAGCTGCATTCCCTTCTCCTCCTGGGATCTTAGGCATGCACGCACATGCGCCAGACGTGAGTTTTAAGCCACTGGGTCCAGGACTTGAACTGCAGTCAGCCATGTGGGAGTCCAAGAACGTAACCACTATGCCACCCGCTGGCACCTGGTCATTTGCTTTTTTATAATAAAAATTTTAAAAATTTATTTATTATTATTAAAAAAAATTTGCTCTTGGGTACACGCACTCACCAGAAAGAGACACAGAGAGGGAGGGGGAGAAAGCAAGCCTCCAGGTCCAGGACGTGAGCCATGGCTGGCCATGTGGGAGTCCAGCGTCTTAACCACCACACCACCTGCTGGCCCTGGTCATTTACTTCTGAGAATGAGTCTACTGGCTAAGGTTGGCTAGTGGGCAGGAGAAGGTGGGACAGAGGCCAGGATACCAATCATGAGATTGGTATAGTGGTCTCATGGCCTAGCTGGGACCTGGGGATGGGGAACAGAGCACGGCTGGACAGACACTGCAGGCAGATGCGAGACGGGTACCTTGATGTCACAAAGGAACTGGGCGATCTCTCCCTCGCGCATGGTGCACACGATGGTCTCCCACACAGGCAGCTTGAACTTCTTGCCAATGATGAGCTCCATGGGCTTGCCCCGCACCCGGCTGTCATCCAGCACGGCACCCTCATCGTCACTGTGCAGTGTCCGGTAGTGGAAGGTGGCCTGTGGGCCACATGCGTAATCAGGCAAGGGCACAGCTGACACCTGACCCCCAAGGACAGGTTCAGCTCCCAGCCTGCACAAGGGCAAGGCTCACTCAGGGGTCCTCATTTTTTTTTTTTTGAGAGGTTTTTGCTATAGGGCACGTGCGCTCGCCAGACAGACAGAGAGAGACATAGAGACAGAAACCGAGAAATCACCCCCTGGGGGGATGGCCACGCCACAATCCCTTCTCCTCCATTCTCCTCTCGGGATCTTGGGCACGCACACACACGCGCCCGGCGGGAGTGTA